CGCCAGAGGTTCAGACAGAACACAGACATACATAAAGAACATAAAGTAACTTACGGGTGAGCGAACACCGCGCCAGAGGTTCAGACAGAACACAAACATACATATAACATAGATTACAGGTGAGCTAACACAGTAACTAAGGCACCTCCAACTATATGGGAAAAAAAAAAAAATTACTATAGGCATGACTGATATAAGATAGTACTGATGACAGGAAGAACACTCCTTCCAGCCTTTGCTTAGATAGCAAATCCTGCAAGGCAGCAGAACATGAAACAGGTTGCACTGGGTTACATGTTACCAGTAGCAGGATGGTCATGAAGACCATACTCCTGACCTGACATACAATTAAATTGAATTTTTAGTTTAACATGTTTCTGAACCCAATAGAGATAAAGCTATTCTAGACTTGATTTTTAACAATGAACACGATTTGGTAAGCGATATTCACAACCTCAATACGTTGGGGGATAGTGATCATTCCATGATAACCTTCAACTAAAAATTAATTGGAATTTAAAACTTGAAGGAAGCCTAGATTATTGGTCAACATTTAAATCAATATTGCTTGACTTAGAATCAAAATATGTTCCAAAACGATTGGTCAACACCAATCCTAAGTACAAAAAACCCTTATGGATGACTCGTAAAGTAGCCAAAGCAATCAAAAGAAAAAGGAAAATATATTCTAGACACAAAAACAAATCTCATCCTGAGGTGGTCAGTGTAAATATAAAATGCAAACGGTTAATTAGGAAAGCAAAGATTGACTTTGAGTTTATGCTGGCACGAAATAACAAACATGATTCTAAATCATTATTTGCTTATGCTAGAAGCAAAACAAAGTCAACAGTTAAATGATGGTGTTAAAATTGATTCAGTTACTGGAATAACTGAAGAATTTAATAAGTACTTTACATCAGTTTTCACCAATGAGAATATTGACATAATACCAGAATCTGAAGGTATCCTTAATAAGTCACATATTGGTAGGGTGAGTGGCTGCATGTTTACCAAGAATGATGTGAGGACAAAATTGTCAATTACCTTGAAATGAATCAAGCAATAGTAGACTCACAACACAGATTCAGGAAAGGAAAATCTTGTGTGACCAATTTATCATTGTTTTTGGAGCAAGTAACAGGATTTGTTGACAATGGAGATTGTGTAGATGTGATATATTTAGATTTTGCAAAAGTCTTTGATAAGGTTCCTCATCAAAGATTGGTAAAAAAGTTGTATAGTCATGCAATTGAAGACAAACTTTTTCAATGGATAAATTGTTGGTTGATTAACAGGGTTCAACGAGTAGTTTTGAATGGAAAAACTTTTTCTTTTAGGGGAGTAATTAGTGGCATACCACAAGGTTCTGTATTAGGTCCAATCCTATTTTTGATATATTCTAATGATCTGGATACCGATGTGACAAACCATATATTAAAATTTGTTGACGATACTAAAATATTCTCTAAAGTTAATACCAGAAGTAATGGTTTGCATCTGCAATAAGATCTGCAAAAGCTTGTTAAGTGGTCCATTGAATGGCAAATGCAATTTAATGTTATGAAAAAAAACATTGGTTAAGAATACAGTATAAAAGAGGTTATTTTAGAAGAAATTGAGACTGAAAAAGACCTTGGGGTTGTAATATCAAATGATTTGAAAGCATCTATTATTTTGAGTTTGTATTAAAGTTCGAAAAATAATTCAATAAAATACTTAAAAATCTATTCAGATAATTACAATATAATACCAAATATTCTAAATTGAAAACACACGATGTTATCACCACATTCGACTGTGTAACTGGAAATGGAGGAAAACATTATTTTTGAGAAATAAAATTTAATTTTCTTTGGTCAAACTTTAGTAAAAAAAGATAATTCATAATATTATTTTTTGTTAAAGCAACAGGCAAAGAAATTACCAAAGAAAAAAAAAATTTAAAAACATTTACACGTTTAGTTCAATGTTACCCGCAAATTCAAAGTTACCCAGAATGACTGTACGCTATCCAGTTATATTTTGAGATCAGTGGTTAAAAAATTAATTTCCTAAATTTTGAAAACAGTGTTAAAATGTTTTTAAAAAGATGGTGGATTTTTATACTTTAACGTCAAATTAGAGTACTTTCCTCAAGTTTTCAGACCTATGTTTTTATATGATTTAGAATCAGTATAATGTATTCTATAATAATCAATCATAAAAACAGGGATGGGAGGAGGGGGGGGAGATGGAAGAAAGTCGAGTAGCGCTTTACCTATTAATTAAAACTAAACAAAAAAAATTTAACATTTCAAAGTTTGTTTTTAATTTTTTAATAAAATTTGCAAGCGTTTTTTTTTTTTAAAAAAACCATGTTAATTTATAGTTTTCACTTCAAGTTCAATAAACAATGTTTATATTTAAAATTAGCAATAGTTCGGAAGCCGAACCGTTCGGTGTTCGGCAAAATGTAATGGCTGAATGTTCGGATTCGGTCACTGATCTCAAAATAATAACTAGATAGCGCATTCGGAAAAATTTTTGAAGCCAGTTTTGGCCTACTAATAAATAAATATATAAAATAGGTAAACCTGCAGTTAAGCGGCGTAAAATAATTATATTATTTTGCTTTTTGCGCTCTCGTTCGCGGAGACTAAAAAACAAAAGAAATTCAAAACGAGTTTTAATTGCTTTGAAAGGTTTAAAATAAGAAAGCTTTAAAAAAAATTATATTTTTATTTTCAAATATATTTCTATATAATAATAATAATTATAATATATATGTGTATATATATATATATATATATATATATATATATATATATATATATATATATATATATATATATATATATATATATATATATATATATATATATATATATATATATTATAAATTTAAAATAGATTAGATAAAATTTAAAACTCGCTTTTAAAAATTATTAATTGATTTAAAAAATTTTTTTAATAATTATGATATCTTACGTAACGCAACTTTACATAATACGCTCACCACCGTTGATTTTTTTAAGTAAAAAATATATAATTATTTTACGCCGCTTAACTGCAGATTTACCCTTATTCAAAATAAATATAATTATATTTATTTTGAATAAGGGTAAATATAAGATTTTGTTATAAAAGAATTTTTATAATCTTTTTTCATCATATAAGAATTATTATAATTAATAGAAAAACTCACCATTTAATTTATTATTTTTCAAATTTAATAAACAAGTTCTGATAAATTTTAAGTTCACTAAACTAGTTGCTATTAGAAGAACGCGTGTTGTTTTTAAATTTAAAACAAGGTTTAGAATTTAAACCTAGTAAAACAACGCATGCGTCAAAAATTTCCTCAAGTCTTTGAGTCCGGTTAACGAGAAGTTTTAAAATCGGACTCTGCGAAACTCAAAATTTTTAACCAATCAAAACAGGGATCGATCTCAGGAAATAGCACTGATCTCTATAATAACTGATCTCTATTATAGAGATCAGTGGGAAATAGCCGTTCGTAACAGTTCTAACCGATGCCATCTTGGTAGGCCAAAATTGGCTTCAACTTTTTTTACGAAAAACAATAGAATACGCTACCAGTTATTATTTTGAGATCAGTGGGATTCGGTGTTTGGCAAAAAACCGGATTCGGCGCATCCCTAGTAATTTTACATGCTTTTTAAATTCCTTTTAAAAATATGCATGATTGCTACTATATAAATATATAAATATTTATATATATATATATATATATATATATATATATATATATATATATATATATATATATATATATATATATATATATATATATATATATATATATATATATATATATATAAATTAAAAGAAACTTTTCAATTTTAGGGATCGTTTATTAGCAATCATGCATATATATATATATACATATATATATATATATATATATATATATATATATATATATATATACATATATATACATGTATATATATATATATATATATATATATATATATATATATATATTATATATATATATATATATATATATATATATATATATATATATATATATATATATATATATAATATAATGTAAACTATGTTTACTTGAAAATTTAAATCATAAGGGATCGGCCATAAATTACGTAACGCAAAAATTCACAATAAACAAAACAAAAAAAGATCAAAAGTTTTCTCTCGCAGAGTCTTAATTTAAATAAATGATCAAAATAAGAAAATAAGTTAAATGAAAATCGCCGCGTAAAAGAGCTTATTATCTCCTACTTCTATTCTTAAAATATTTTTTGCGTTGCGTAATTTATGGACGATCCCTAAAATTGAAAAGTTTTTTTAAATAAGTCACTGTAACCATCTCAAATATATTGATCGTTTTTCTGATTTCTAAAATATTTTATAATATTTTACCTGCTTCTTTTGAGAAAGAAAAGAAAAACAATCCAGAAAAAGAGTTGAATTGTACCCCAAGTGTGCTATAAAACGTCTAATGTTTAGTTCTTTTACTTGTAATAACACTCAGAAATACCGAACAACATAACATTTTTAAATTTAATTTTTCTATTCATTTTTCTATAAAAGAGTTTCTAGTAAAAATAAACATTCTAGTAAAAAGTAGAGTCGGATTTTGATGAATTGAGTCGGCTATTGATTTTGCCTTTTTTTGGAAATAAATCTTGATTTCCCTCTACTTCCCGATTTTATTTTGCAGTTTTGTTTTCTTCATAACATTATATAATAATTATAATAAAATATTACTTTTAACGATTATACTAAAGTATTCTGTATTCTTACAAATTGCGAATAATAATTGCAATATTGATGATTTAAATGGACTCAAATAAAAACAAATTCTTATTGACAATTGTCAGTTATAATATAAGTAATATAAGTATAATATAATATGAAATATAAGTTATTTTATAATAATTCCAATTAGATCAATGCCCCCACCCATGCCACCCCCAATGCGCAGTTTTAGATCTGATGTTAAAAGCATAAAAATAACAAAAGTTTTAAAAAAACATTTATCTCACAATTTTTGATTAATATAAAGGACAAATTACTCAACATAAGAACGTTAGCTTGTGTAATTGCAACAAAAAACAAACAAAAAAATCAATTACAATGTCTTTTGAAATTAAGAAAAGTTGAAAAGTTAAACAACATCGTTCGATTGAACATGTGGAGAAATTTCATTTGATAGAATGCTTGGCATATTAGTTTCTTCAGATTTAACACCTAACATTATTTCGTTATGTCTGTGAAACACTTTCCATGGTGAGTCGTAACCTGCATAAACCATTAACGATTCTTGGTATTTTAGACCGGCTTTGTCAAGTGCGTTTGTAAGTTTCTTGCGTTGATACAACAGGTTCTTATTGATTTCCATTTGATATCCTCCAAAAACTCTTACGTAGGTACAAACTTTAGGATAATTTAGAATCTTAACAGCATCACTGGTAGGTTTGGGTATAGTTAAATTTGTAGGAGGAACGAAAAAATGCATTTTAATATCCAAAGAATCATTTTTGTCAGTTGACATTTTCATTGCGACAAGAACTGGTACAGTCATCGGTATTTTAACTTTTTGATCATTTTCACCGCTAATATATTTGAAAAGGGTTTGGAACATCGGTCGAAATGCTATTAAATATATATATATATATATATATATATATATATATATATATATATATATATATATATATATATATATATATATATATATATATATATATATATATATATATATATATATATATATATATATATATATATATATATATATATATATATATATATATATATATATATATATATATATATATATATATATATATATATATATATATGTATGTATAAAATTGCACTTATACAAACGGAACCATTAACAAAAACGTTTTCTAAAAATATTTATTTAGTAATAAAAAATAACAGCTTACATGTTTTTTGTGTATGTGGCGCTTGGATTGAAGTTGTCGCCCATGTTGACTCTTCGTAACACCTTTCCTCGTAACCATCGCCTTTTGACTTGATAGTGAACTTGGGACATTTTAAGTTGTGACAAAATTTAGGATATTCTTCGTTTTTAACTTCCAATATTTCTTTTAAATTTGAAGATACTTTTTTACGAATATTATTTATTTTAGAACGAAAAGAGTTCCAAATGTTTGTCTCTCCCAAGCATACTCCGATAACCAATAAAAATATCGCAAAGGTAAAACGCATCTTATATCTGCCTAAGTAAAACAATTTAATTTTTAAAATTAAAAATGTTGATACAAAAATCAAAAATTCTACAAACAGAATTGTTTATTATTATATATATATTGTTATGTATATTATTATGTATATTATGTTTGTTATTATGTATATTATTGTTTAAAAATAGATTAAAATTTTATATGGTAAGATTGTACATTATATATTTGGATAAGTTTTTTTTTCTTGAACAATATCAACAACAAAATAAATATTAAATTAATGTTCACGTTAATAATTGACGACAAACTTACAATCCGAATCTTTAAAAATGCTTTATGCTAACTTTTTTTAAATAGTTTTTTCAATGTTGTGAAACTTAAAAAAAAACACGTAACGTCTTTTATAAAACAATATAAAATGTTTGCTTTAACAGTTAATTAAGTTGCGTAATCTAAGTTGTGAGAATTTAAAAGTTCGCGTGAAATATTTGTTAAAAACCTTTTTAATGACAATTATTATTCTATTAACACCCAGGTTTATATCAAATAGCTTTTTTTAAATATCTTTTTTTTACATAAAACCATTATTTTAAATTTTATATCATTCAATCCACTTAGTTATGTTACATCGCTTCAAGATGCAAAACAATTGCTTCTTTTGACTACATTATTTATGAAATAAAGTTTTGTTTCAATTTTACTATCTCTCAAACAAACTTTAAGTATTTTATTATAGTAATAGAGACGCATAATGTAGAAGCCGAAGCAAAATCTTGTCAACAAATTTGGTAAAAATCTTGATTAAAAAAAAAACATGACGGCGGACTTGTAAACGACGCGCCCCTATGAAATACTAATAATCGTGACCAACTGTCCTAATTCTTACGGTCAATTGATAAATGTATATTTCGTTGTGTCAATCCCTAATGGTTAGTCAAAGCATTTACATTTAATTCTATTCATTACTTATGATCAATTGATGTAATTACACTTTAATTAATTTAATTAATTAATTTTACTAGGTCAGTAAAATATCATTTTCGAAAAAACGTGATTTAAACTTAGAGGGGTGCACCGTTTACAAGTCTGCCAACATGACAATCAAGTTTATTACAATAAATAAAAAATTACAATATGTAAAAAATTAGGTTTGTAAAGGCTTATCGATTTTACAAACCTAATTTTTATTCATCTATCGATATCATTTTAAATAATTATTCTTTGAAAAAAAGTTGTATTTAAAGTTTTAAGTAATGCAATTTTAGAATTTTATTATTTAGTTTCTTATTTTATTATAAATGCTACTATTTAATGTTTTTTATCAGCTCCATATTAAGGGTTCATGACACTTGAAATATGAAACTGCAATTTTTTATTTAAAAAAAATAACATTTGTTTCTTCAAAATGTAAACAGCTTACAATTTCCTGATATATTATTTAAAAAAAAGACAATAGTTGGTATTACAAAAAGATCAAAGTTTGGTTCACAAACTTTGATCTTTTTGTAAAAGCTATATGAGATAATGCTTTATTCTGAAGGCAGCACAAAGAATTTATCAGGTTTTCATGTGTAAGTCAGCACAAAGAATTTATCAGGTTTTCATGTGCAAGTCAGCACAAAGAATTGGTTTTCACGTGCAAATCAATAATTTCCAATCCTTTACATAATAAAAACAATCCTTTAGAAATCATTCGATGCTACTAAGTTGTGCCAGAAATCAGTGTCAAGCAGTCTTAATGTTTATCAATTTGTTTTTATTTTATGAATTTTATAGTATATAATAACAATTTATAATAGTCTTAAATTTAAAAGATTTTAAATTTTAACAATTTAACATAATTATTTTCTTCTTTTTGTTTAGTTTCCTTTATCATCACATTATTAGTGTTAGCTTATTGTTGAAACATGTTTTTTTTGAAAAATTTACTATCTTTAGTCAACAGTAAAAGAAAAACTGAAATTTTACATAATTAAAGTGAAAATAGTTTTTTATTAATTGGTAACTTTTATTGGTTATGGTTATTTGTGTTATAACTAATTTGTGCTATTTAATTTTCTCACTCGAAAAAAAAACTTCTTTTCTTTCCAAAAATTGGTATTGTGGTTTATCCTCCTCCGGCTAATTGCCATATAGAGGCCACATTACCAAGGTCCGCAAAGACAGGTTCGGCTCCCCAAGGAGCGTCATAACCCGCTCTACGGACCAAGAGTAAAGTAAGTTTAGGAAGAACAAAGATATGTTAGAGTGAAAGACAAAAGTAGTCGTGTTAGAAAGATAGCATAGAGAAAGCGGACAGGATTGCACTCGATGTTAGGAGGTGCAATAGGTTGAAATAGGGTCTTTTCAAAAATTTATTTATTAACCTGAATTCAACTCATCTTACAAAAGTTTTATATAATATATTTACCTACAAAACCAACATTACAAAAACCGCTTAACACATAACTACAATTAAAATAGTTAAAAACTATTAGTAAAAGATTAGTAAATATTAGTAATTGCCTTAGAATGTTCTAAAACTTTCTCCACTTTATTTACATGCTACAATGTTGTTTTTGTCACTATCATTAACAGTAACCTTTCTTATGCTCATAAATATCTATTGCATGCCTTTTTTACTTTTTTTAACACAGTGTTTTGGAAACACTGTCTCTCTCTCTCTCTTTCTCTCTCCTTTAAATGAAAGTTAAATGAAAATTAATAAAGGGAGCATTAATAGAACCTTCTATGTAGTTACTGACCTCTTGCGTATTTCTTTATACCACAATTGATAAGGGGTTGTCGAAAACAGAGCGTGTTTAACACATAACTATTGACAGCCGTTACAACCAATGTTATGGCGAGAAAAAGCACTTTTTTTTAAAAAAAAAATGTGAACGAAAGTATATGCAAATATCTAACTTAGGTAAAACATCAAATTATGTAATGTTCAAACATATATTTATTTATTTATTTACATTTTCACTACTACATATTTGTTACAATTTTTTCACATCGAAATATAAGCAAAATATACTTCCGTTACAAAAGATTACATTTAATCAAATACTGCTAAGATAAATTTAACAGAAATAACACTCAGTTTAAAAAGAACAATTGAAAAAAAATAACTTTAGGAAGCACTTGTTAGATATTAGTATTTCGGAATTAATTTGTTATATAAATAGGGATAAGAGATAGAGAATTGTGAGTTTTTTTTTTTTCGGGGTACGATAAAGTTAACAGATGCACAGAAGTTTTCTGTGAATCGTGAAGGTACTTATCCCATTTTATATTTTTGCATAAATAGTATATTAGCATAGATATTGATTAGAAAAATGTTTAGCGCAAGTTTCTTTTTTTATTGCTTTGAATGAAATAAAATATATTTAGTTTTTTTGTACGTTTATTGATAACTTATTTGCACTGAACCACGTTTTAAGTTGTTGAAGCTCAAAGTTGATTTTGTCAAAAAGGTCATCGATAGAAGAAGATAAATAAAACAGGTTTTTATCATCTGCAAACACTATGCAATCAAGATTTGTAGAAGCTTTAGGAAGGTCATTAATGTATATAAGGAACAACAAGGGGACAAGAATTGATCCCTGTTGAACACCACATTTTATTTTTAATAGCTTTGAATTAGAAATATCGTCGACACATTGTTGTCGATTATTTAAATAACTGGTGATTCATTTAATAGTTTTGTTTTTTAAACCATATTTTTTCATTTTTTCAATCATAATTTTATGGTTCACCGTATCAAAAGTTTTTGTAAGGTCAATAAAGACTCCCAACAACTGTCCTTTATCAAAAGATGAGCTGATGTTGTTCGTGAGGTCTATGATTGTTGAATTGAATCAAATGATTGCATGTTCCGTTGAATGATTTGTTAGAAAACCGTTCTGATACTCACTTAATTATTTAAATATTGCAGACACAATTAAGAAAACTAATTGAATGCTTTGTTAAACTGACTGCAAAAACTTGTTTTCAGAATAAATAAATACTTGATAAATTATCATCGAACCTTACAAAAAATTATAAACAAGTAAATTTGCAAATACCTTACAAATACGTTACAATAAAGTAGAGTATATATAGAGAATCTTTTACATAGGCAAAACTATAAACATTATAAACAACATTTACAAATATAAAAACAATATAAATGGTTGTATACAATAAAACTTTAGAGAAAAATAATAAAAATTGAAAAATAAAGTTAAATAGTAGATAAAATAATTAGCAATACTGTAAAATATTATCGAGGGAAATAATTAAATTTTTAAATTTTTTTTTAAAAAGACAAAAATAATTTGGTCGATCAAAATCAAATAATCAAGATAAATACCTAAGAATTAAATAACAGAGTCTCTTTTTATTTCAATTTCATCAATAAAGATTTGAGGCAAGTTTAAGGGATAAATTTTTTTCCTAAGCAAATGAAAGTGAGTCCATTTAGTTTTGTTTTTTCTACACAACCCCTTGAACACAACCTCAGTTTTTTTTTTTTTTTTTTTACACAACCCCTTGAAAAGGATGTCTTAAAATCTAGACCTAATTGAAAAAATTTTTTTGATCTCATTTCATATTTTATAAACATCTTTTTGACGATCGGTTTTTTTTGTTGTTGGATAAGCGTAAAAAGTTAATTTTTATCCATCTTTTGAATTGTGCATCATGTGTATGATGAGCAAATGAAATTTGCAGCAGACAACATTGATGTTTGAAATTGTTGTCACACTTTAGAAAAATAAAATCAAAAATAGATTAAAAGCGGGTCAAATGGAATATATTCCATTTGACCCGCTTTTACTCAATCTTTTATTTTATTTTTCAAATAAAAAAAAAGAAAAATTCTTAACTATATAGTTAGGAAATTTTTTTTTTATTTGAAAAAGATTTTTAATTTCTTTTTTTTAAGTTCTAGAGAATTTTGAGGTTTATTTAAATACATAAAAATCAAAAAGCTTTTTTAATAAGTTCTTAAAGAAACTTTATTTAATTGAAAAAAAAAACTATTTCATTCTACTCTCATATATGGGGAGAATGAAATATGCATATTGTTGGATAATTAAAAGAATGCGTAATAAAAAAATACAACGAATGATAATAATTAAAAAACAATCAATAATAACAATTAAAAACCACCAATTAATAAAGCAAATATTTTTAGTTATGTGATGATGTTGAGTCTTTAAGAGGTTCTGAAGGTTGAGTTGTGTTGTCACTTGTGCTGCACTTTTTAGTGATATAACCCGGTGGGAAATGAGCTAGCGACTAGCGAGCGACAAGCTAGCTTCATAGCGATTTTCAAGCGATTTTTTTTTTTGTTATATTTTATTTTTTTCAAATGTCTTTAACATCTTTAAAAATTCGATTTTTAGTGTTGAGTCTATTATAATTATGAAAATAATTGAACTTTAAACATTGCGATTTTGTAGCAATGCGTCGCTAGCTAC